GGGGTGGGGTGGGGATCGTACCTTATTCCATCAACGTTCATGGCTCCGAGACCCGGACGCCGAAATCCCGCAGCTTTTAGCCATCGAAGGAGAAGGCGTTTCTCTCGAACCTGATGCTTGCCCGCCCGCGCGCTGAGGATCCGGGCCTGTGAGCTCGGACTCGACAGTGAGGCCACCAGCTCGACCCCGCAGAGCCTGGGGACCCTTCGTCCCATGCTGGGCGCCCCAGCAGGACAGGAACCCTAGCTTTTGCTCCTTTGGCTTTCACCAGTGACTGTGCAACGAAGTGAAATGGGTCTGCTTGGATCAGGAAGACCTGGAAAGCAGACGGCGAAATTGGGTCTGAAAGTTCAAGAAGCACGCTGAACTGACAACACAGCGCCACCACCCTCCCTCGGAAGGGTCAAGGCTGTGAACGTCGAGTATCCCCTTATTTTCCTTCAGGCCTTTGGGTTTACTCACACTCCAGCAGATAGCAAATGTCACCCTTGGCGGAGACTCAGCATGGACATAGCACTCGCCCAGAGCTCGGTTTCTGGCGCAGGGCCGGGGTACCCGCCCCCTGCCCGCCCTCCGGAGAGCCCTCGAGTCAGTGCCCATTTCCCCGGGGTCGATCGGGATCCCTCCCGCGCAGGGCCCGCGCGCATGCTAGTCTCCCGGAGGAACCTCGCCGTCCAGTGGGCTCCTGGGGCCAGAGCGGAGCGCTCGACCTCGGAATTGTCAACGCCTCTTCCCGCCTGTCCCACTGCGCTCGCGGCACCCAGCCCGGGAGAGGCGGATGTGGTGCGGCCCTCTCCCTGATCCCCGGGCCAGAAACTCAGCCCCGAGTGGCAACAGCCTTGCCTCAGAGGCCCAGACTTGAGTTCGAGTCCTGACTCTGCTGTGTGACCTTAAAGCAAGTGATTCGGTCTCTCTAAGCCTTGATTTCCTCACTGCGGATCATTCTGTACCCACCACGTAAGACAGTTCTCAGGGTCAGTGGGATAATGAAGGTAAAGATCTTGGCAGACCTCCTGGTGCTCAGTAAACGCTCAATAAATCAATGCTAGCCATTACTATTAGTTATCGCAACATAGTTGCTTTTTCCACCAGAGGGTAAGCTACTGAAGGACAGGAACCCCCAGCACCTGGCAGGTGCCTGGCGCGGTAGGCGGAGGGTGTGGCTGACTGAGACCTTCAAGCTCACGGGGACGTGAGGGAGGGAGAGGTAGAGCGAGGGACCGATACTGATGCGGAAATCCGAGATAGTCTCTGAGCTGAAGGCATAAGGAGAGGTGAGGGTACAGCTAGGGGGCTGCTAGGGCAGCAAGGGCAGAGGACCCGACGACGGCCATTCACGTCTCAGGACCCTAGGCCCGACTCGCGGCCCCCCGAAGAGTTTTCTCGAGGTCCCCACCCCCACCCCCAAGGTGTGTTTCCATTATGTCCTCTCGATGAGTCTGTACAAGAAAACAAATATATGGGATCCAAGTATGCAGTCTCCGGAGTCAGAGATCCCATCTGCCTAAGGGCCAAAGGGGCTGGGAGGAGCTGACTGCACCCCGAGTCCCTCCAGGCCGTGTTAGAGGCGAGCGGGGGGGAGGGGGGAAACCAGGTTGAGGAAGCCAGCAATGCGAAAGGACTGGGTGAGAGGTGTCCCCAAGACGATGCAATGGCCAACGAAGGGATGAGAGCACGGCCAGTCATGTCCTAGAAAGGTAGAGATAGGACGCTCCCGGAAACCAAACCCTCACCCTCTCCCAACATCTTTGAGTTCTAGAACGAACCCCAAAGAGATTCGAAAGCAGAGATTCCTAGAACTACTAGGAAAACGCGAAAAGAATGCCTTTCGGGCCAATGGCCTGGAAACCCGTGTCCCCTCGACAAGAGAATGCAGTGTGGGGACACGGGTCAGTACAGCAGCAGCAGGCGCGACCCCCGAGTGGGGTAGGCGAGTGAGAATGGGCCGGTCCCTCTGCGCGCGAAGAGCACGCCGGCGCCCACCCCAGCTCCCTGCCGGCAGGGGGCGTCCTCTCCCCCAGCGCATCGGCTGTCTGTGTCACGGAGGACGCCCAACGGTCCAGCAGAGCCAATGCACTGGGCCGGAGGAAGCTCTGGTATCCTGACCCCGGCCGGCGGTGGGGCAGGGGGCTGAAAGCAAGGTGCACCAAACCCGTTCTCCAGGGCCGCTAGCCGTCTGCTGGAGACTCCGAGCTGCTCAGCCAAGGCTTGCAGTAAACACCCTGAGATTTGCGCTATGGCCGCAGAGAAAGGCGGGGTACCTAACTCAAAAGAGTCGTTTCTGCCCTCGAGTCTCAGCGTTCATCTGTACGATGGGAACCAAGATTCCGCCCTTGCATGGCGAGGGTTGCTGCGAGGCTCCTGCGGGAGGAGACGGTGAGACTCCGTGACCAAAGTGCCGCGGCGACGACCTGGCGGGCACGGGATCCAAAGCGGGAAAGTCTTACCCGATGAGATTGGAACATACAAGGCCAGAGCAGAGAACACTGAGCTCCCCCTCCTTCCCTCATCGTTCTCTAGATCCCTGCGGAGTAAGTGAATGCCGAGGCGGAGAGAGAAAAACGAAAGCAGAAAAGAGGGAGGAGGGGGCCCTGAGGCGGAGGAGGAAGTTTGGCCGCAAGGAGGCACCTCGATTCCCCCAAACTCAGTGTGAGCCGCCCCCCATCCCCGTCAGATCACTATGGAGAGGGGCATCAGCCTGCTCTGAACTGTGGACAAGAGTGTCAGTTCTCTACGGTACTACCTCCCTGACTTTAGACGAAAGTGAGGAAATCATTTGGATGTTGTCATGTGATGATCAGATAATTTGGGCAAACCCAGATTTGTGTCCGGATTATCAGATTTAATATCTCTAATATAGCAAGTTTTCATTTGATTCTCCAAAGACAGCTGTAAATTCTCTCTCTCCCCCTTGCTCATTGCCTCTGATCTTTTCTCCCACGTACACACACACAGTTCCTTGTTTCCCAGTTAAAGGGAACTTCCTTCCAGGAAGATGCTATTTTCCAGATCTCAGCTGACCTGGACTTTAGGCTATTAACGGAGATTCCCATAGACAGTAAAATACAACAAACTTGCCACCGTGAAAAAGTCCAGAGAGTATGCTTGTGGTGGGAACAAAGGAGCAGAGAGAAGGCAAGACTGGTTCTTTTATATTCCCTTTTCAGGGGAAAAAAGCTTCTATACTAGGCCAAAACAGCTACCACTGTGGTGACCCAAAAATTTGGAATTTGGCGTCAAGACACCAAAAGGCAATCTTGATAAATATCAAGAAGTTAATTTTATAACTAGGGCCCACAAAGCAGCTGGCTGAGCGCGGCGACGAGGCAGTGCAGCCAAGTGGTGTGAGCCCCACAGCTCACCCTTCTCCATCTAGGGGCCTTCCTTAACCGGGAAAAAAAACGGCTGGGAACTAAATCCAGGCGGATTTGAAGGCGGATTACTGTCTTCATTATTCCGCAGAGGGTGAGCTGTGTGGATACTGGAGTTTTAATTACACGGTTGCTTTTTCTGGGGAAGAAGACCAAAGATCATATTTTTGAAAGTATCAACTTGTTTTCCATTAGGCAGTTGTTGTAACAAGTTCTTTCAGCGACATGTTATGTCTTTAGGAAGGGGTACTTCAGATGGCGCGCACTAGCACAATTTTGTGGCTTTTAATTACTATTTTGTTCTTTTGGGGGGTTTCAGAGGCTGGCGCCTCGGCGTGATTAGACCGTCTCCTGGGGCCCGCCGCAACCACGCACACCTCCAGCAGATGGCGCCACAAGGCAGCACAGCCGCAGGAACAGGAGACTTGGAGTCCAGGAAAGGCGAGTGTCCCACAACTTTGGGCCACGATTCCCAACTACCAGGAAACGGGGATATAGAGGAAGTCGCCACTTCCGATTTAAAAGAAGAAGAAGAAATTGCAATGAGAGGGAGGAACGCGGTCCTAAACTGAAAAAACTAAAATAGGGCTAAGTGCACGAGATAAAACTTTTTCTATTTGTTTCTAGAAGTTTACCAAGACTTGTAGTATCGAGATAAGTCTCTCACCTAAGTATTATCTCACTTCTTTTTTGTAAAAACATAGAATTTAGAGTTAGAACGAACACTGAAAGACATCTGGTTAGTCTGGTCCAGCTTTCCAATCTGGGAGGAAATCCCCGGGATCGCTTTTCTGGTGTCAATTAGCCATGAAATATACATCATTACTCGGTGTCTCGGCGTGTCAGGAAAGTACAAGGGGAAAGGGTTTCAAATCTATCATTAGCAATAATACCTTTGAATTTATATAGCTTTTCTCTCACGCAACAAGGAAAAATCGTTTAAATATTATCCAATTAATTGTCCTAATATCCCTGCGGGTTGGTTAGGAAGCAGGTATTATTATACGTGGTTTATGGATAATTTAAATCAATTGACTAAGTCAAGTGCGGAGTGGCTGACAAGAGTAAGTGCCAGACACTTCGAGGAAAAGCGGAGCTAGCGCTGGCCCGGCTCTCAGCACCTCTTTTGATTAATGTTTGAAAGCTGACCTCGGGCACGGAGGTACGAGTCATTGGAATTGGTTGGCACTTGTACACAGAACGGGATGGGAGACCCCATTTCTTCTTCCTCTAAACGAAATGCCAGTCTCTGTTTTCACGCCTTCTGTCCTCCTGCCGCCGGCCACCCTGACTCCCCACCGTTCCCCCCTCCTTCCTCTCTCCTCCCCCGCCCCCCCCCAGCCTCTCGCTTCGCTGCTCATACTCAGCAGCGGCCTGTCTGCGCTCGCGACCACAGCAGCCGCAGCGCCCGCCCGGTGACACCCGCCTCCCGCCCGGCGTTCCTGGGCGCCCTTAGCCTCGCGCCCCGGCGCTTCGGATTGGCTGTTGCTAGGTGACGTCGCCTGCGCTCACGTGACAAGTGTTAAATGCCCACCCTGCAGGAGCCCGCCCCGCAGACAATCGTAAAGCCGCTCCAGGCTGCTGCTCACCTGCTCCCGCCTCCCGGAGCCCCGGCCCGGCCCTGCCACCCCTGCCCCCTCCACTGCCCGCCCCCCGCCCGAGCCTGCGCTGGGCAACGAGCCGACCCGGCCAAGAGGCGGAGAGAGGATGCGGCCGGCGGCAGCTGTCCCGAGCAGTGCACGGTGATCGCCTCCCCCGGAGGAGGAGTTGCGTAGACCGTTGCCACATTTCTTGTTTTCCTCCTCACCGCCCCCCCCCCAACTCCCCCGTAATTACATTGACTGCTGGAGGGGACAGGGAGAGACGGAGGAGGCGCCTCGCTTCCCCCCTCGCGCCCGCCACCCTTGCTCTTTCCCGTCCCGGGCCAGGATGACTGGAGTCTTTGACAGTCTGGTGGCTGATATGCACTCGACCCAGATCACGGCCTCCAGCACGTACCACCAGCACCAGCAGCCTCCGAGCGGCGGCGGCGCTGGCCCCGGCAGCAGCAACGGCAGCGGCCTCCACAAGCCCCAGGAGTCGCCCACCCTTCCGGTGTCCACAGCTACCGACAGCAGCTACTACACCAACCAGCAGCACCCGGCGGGCGGCGGCGGCGGTGGGGGCTCGCCCTACGCGCACATGGGTTCCTACCAGTACCACGCCAGTGGCCTCAACAACGTCCCTTATTCCGCCAAGAGCGGCTACGACCTGGGCTACACCGCCGCCTACACCTCCTACGCGCCCTACGGGACCAGTTCGTCCCCAGCCAACAACGAACCCGGTATGCATAACGCTGGCGTCGAGGGTGCCAAGTGGGTCTAGTTACTGGGATGGGTGGGATACAAATGTTTGGATCCCTGGCCTTTCACACTGCCTGCTCCCCGCCCGCCCGCGCCCTTTAACTCAACCTCCAATCTGCTGAGGGTCACCGGGTACGTCCCTCAGTGCTCAGCTGGTGGGACCGGGTGGCCCCGGCGTCCGAATGGGCGCGCGGTGCATGCCTCATGGTAAACCTCATTTCCTTGCCACCTGCTTCTTCTTTCTTTCCAGTATGCGCCTTTCTTCCCCTTTCCTGGAGGGTCCAGTTCCCAGGTTCGGCGGTGGCGCGGGTCTGCGGGTTGCAAAGTTGCGCCTGAGCTCGGCACAGCGTTTCCAGGAACCCGCGTCCAGGCTCAGGCCAAGTCCCACGCCGGGCACTCCCGGCGGTCGGGAACCCTTGGGCTCCGCTGGTTACGCGGTTCTCACGATTGCGTTTCGTTGCAGAGAAAGAGGACCTCGAGCCAGAAATTCGGATAGTGAACGGGAAGCCAAAGAAAGTCCGGAAACCCCGCACCATCTACTCCAGCTTCCAGCTGGCGGCTCTTCAGCGGCGTTTCCAAAAGACTCAGTACCTGGCGCTGCCCGAGCGAGCCGAGCTGGCGGCGTCTCTGGGCCTCACCCAGACTCAGGTGAGGGCTCGCGGCCTGGGATGGCAGGGAAGCAGGCGGGTTCAGGACAATGGTTTCAGAAGTATCTTTAAAGTAATTGTAAGGATTTCGAGGCCAGCGTCTTGGGCGGCCTGACCTTCCTCGCCCGAAGCTGAAACCTCCCACAGGGGCGCGGCGTGTAAGAAAAGGGAAGGATCGGGGTGGGCAGAAATCTTGTACTATGTTGTCTACCCGCGCTTGCGCGCGCGCGCGCTCTACTGATTAAGCGGGTAAAATAATTGGCCCTCCTGACCCCAGTTGTCACCATCATCACAGTGCGCACACAAGAGCCGTCCCGGGCTTTTCGAGATTACCTCCCAATGGAGTAGGAGCCATCAGAGCCTGTGAGGCCGCGGCACGTGATCCGTTGCCTGCCCAGGGTGCTCAGTGCCCACCTCTGTCTCTCTGCGCTTCCTCCCCTCCCCTGCCCCATGCCAAGGTTCCTCCACTAATGCTCGGGTCCCTTTTCCACAAAGGTCAAGATCTGGTTCCAGAATCGCCGATCCAAGTTCAAGAAGATGTGGAAAAGCGGGGAGATACCCTCGGAGCAGCACCCTGGTGCCAGCGCCTCGCCGCCTTGCGCTTCGCCGCCTGTCTCGGCGCCGGCCTCCTGGGACTTCGGCGCGCCGCAGCGGATGGGGGGTGGCGGCGGCCCCGGCAGCGGCGGCAGCGGCGCCGGCAGCTCCGGCTCCAGCCCGAGCAGCGCGGCCTCGGCTTTCCTGGGCAATTACCCTTGGTACCACCAGGCCTCGGGCTCCGCCTCGCACCTGCAGGCCGCGGCGCCGCTGCTGCACCCGACGCAGACCCCGCAGCCGCACCACCACCACCACCACCACCACGGCGGCGGGGGCGCCCCGGTGAGCGCGGGGACGATTTTCTAACCACAGGGAGACTGCGCCAGAGACTGAGAGAGCAGAGACCGGTTATCCTCAGTGCTCACCCCCGGAGCTGGAGGGTCTCTCCAACTGGCCCGTTGACGCCTCCCACCCCTCCCAGAGGTTGCTCGGGGGGGATGGCCTGCCCCTGGCCCTGCTCCCTCGCGCGGCCACCCAGCTGCCGGGAACTGGAAGGCGTCTGCTCGCCCCCCGGGCTCCTCTCGAAGGAATCCGGCAGCGGCATAGGGAGGGCCACCGGCCACGGTCGCCTTTCAGACCTGAGCCCCGCCTCAGACTTGCCTCCCCCCGCCCGCCCCGCCCTGCGAGGCCGTCCGGCGCCTTCCCCGCCGCGGGCCGCGAGCTGAGTCCGGGAGAGGGATGCCTCCCCCTCCCGCGAGGCTTCCCGGGCGCTCTAAGGCTCCTTTCTCCTCGCGCGCCCCCAGGCTGGCTCCAGTCCGCTGGGGTTATTGACCTCCAGGGGTCCTGCCTGCCCGCCCTCCCCAACACGCCCCCTTGACCTGGGCGGCCCGCCGCTTTTTTTCTGCCCTGCCGTTTCCAGCCCTTGGAGCCCCCACCCCTCCCCAGCCTTAGCTCTCCCGCAGAAACTCTCCCTTAGCTCTTGCCTCATCCATCACCCGTGGAGTTTTTTTATTTTTATTTTTTTAAAAGTTTAGGTGCCTTTGCGGATGACCTCATTTTGATGTTGGAAAAAAATGATTTTTTAATATGTGGACACTGCAAAAAATGTGTTTAAATTATCTTTTTTAAAACCTATTCAGGATTATTAGCCTGGACTTCGACATAGAGTTTGTAAATAAAGGTGTCTGCAGATTTTCCCACTGATTTATTTGCATTAAAATACTCATCTTTTCAGACTTTTTTGTAAATTCCCACTTGTGAAAACTGCGGTTTGGCAGCGACCTCAGCAACCCCTCGGTTTTATTTTTCCCTTTGAAAAATTTTCTCAAACTATAGCTACTGATTTGGATTTGTTTTATCTTATCCTAAACTCTTTGTTCTTGAAATGAAAGGTATTTTGGGGTTATTTATTATGAAAACAACATGCTCTTAATGTTGATTTTACAATATGAAGAGTTATTTAAATAAATTATTGTTTTCACTGGATGTGTGCGCTTTCTCCTTGGTGTCACGACCTAGAAGCTCGCGCCGCTGCCCAGGCGGGCAACCTGGTCAGCCGAGAGTGACATTCACATCTTTCAGGGGCTGCGGGTGCGGCGAGGCGCAGAGAGGCGAGGACAGGCGCACTCGGCGCTGGGCCCCGCGGAGTGTTCACGCGCTGCCCCCACCCGAGGCACCGCGCGGGGGTCGCCCGCTCACCACGTGGTGAGTCACTCAGCGCCGGGCGGTTCCGGCCTCGGCCCGCCAGCCCGGCCCCTCCGGCGCCGCCGCCACCGCCCCGCGCCTGGGCGGTCTCTGCCGCCCCCGCGCCCGTGGTCCTGGCCAGGCACTGCAAACGAGCCGCCGCGGGGGACCTGCGGTCTGAGCCTGAACGCTGCCTCGGCCCGGGTCAGATCCCTTCATTGGTCCCTCCCCTCTGTTTGCCCCGCGGCCCTTCTGGGGCTGCCTGAGCCCAGAGCTCAGTGAGTCACCCAGGCCCTCGGGAGACTGGGTTGGCTGCTCTGGAATGCTGGGCGACCCCGGCGCACAGAGCTAAGCTAGCACACATACAATCACACACTTGACTTTCACAATCGCATCTATGCTATTACACACGCACTCATACACACACAGTCGCACATTCATACTGAATCACACACACATAACACACAAATTCATGCACACACGCTGATATAGAAACTGACATACACACACATGCACACTCACAGGGAGACTAATGCACATTGCTGCAGGAGTGGCATCCTTCCACCTCACACTCTGGGGGGGCAGGGGGGATGGGAGGTGCACACATCATTCAGCTCAGCTTTCCACCTTGGGTCTCACCAAACTAGCTTCCAGCTTTGCAAGTGACCTCACTTTATGACATTCCCTGCAAAGGCCAGGTGAAGGTGGACAATGCAGGCCTGAACTGAAAGTCCCTTTCCTTGAAAGCATTGGGGCTTACAGTTGGAAGCTTCCTGGCTTCAACTACTGACTCTGTGACTTTGGGCTACCTCCTTAACCTCCCCGTGCTGCAGTTTGCAGGTCTATAAGAAAGGAGAAATAATAAGGGCTATCTCCGAGTTGTTGTGAGCCTTTACTGAGACAATAGTCTAACACACTGCTTGGCAAATGGTAAGCACGCGATAGATTTTTGCTATTAGTAGTATATTGTTTTATATACTACTATATAGTATATTAGTAGTATATTGTTTTACCCCCAAACAGGGATCCTTTACTTTTGCCAGAGATTATGAGGCCCACAGTGACCCAGAGGCCTTCCCACTTCACCTGGTGTGGAAGAGCAGCACTCTAGGGCAGGGGGAGCTCTCACAGCTTCCTACAGGGGAGCCTGAACCTCAGCCATCCCCTCTGAAGGGCCCCACCTCTGCTAAACAGGAGGTTGGGGGCAAGCCAGAGAGCCCTGCTTGCAGGATCCAGGCCTCCTTTCCTCTAGGATGGTTATTCAGGCCATCCTTGTGTGTCTTCAACTCGCCTCTGCCAAAAAACAGACCTGAGATGGGGGTGAACTTCTAGGCTCAGTGACATGGTCCTAAGAGACTGGCCAGATTGTTTTGGGGCCTGCATCGAGTCTGGTTTACAACAGAGTGTGGTCCAGGGAGTTGGAGCTCTGGGGAAGGCAGGAAGACTACACAATCCAGTGTCCGTTTGCATTTCCTGCATTGGTTTCCCAGGCTAGGGAGGCCTGGCCTGAAATCTGTTGACCCCGCGATTCTGGCTTCCCTAAGCAGCCGCCGCCTAGCAGACCCGCATTCCTGGCCCCCTTCCCCCCAGCTCCAAATTCCATGGTTTTCTTTGAGTGCCAGTAGCTGGTGCCAGCCTTCCTCCTGCGGTTGACTGTGCCCTCCCCCCCTTTGCGCGCACTCCCCTCCCCCTCCTGAAACCCACGAGGAGAGACGGGGCAGTAAATTGGCTGGTGTCGAGGATCTGCAGCAGACAAGATGATTAAGAGGCCTACGCCGGAGCGCCCGGGGCAGGGAATGTCAGCCCAAGTTGGAATCACGCAACAGGCCTTGGCATGAGCGAGCCTGGGAGCCGGGAGGGCGGGCGGTCCCAGCACCGGGGTGGGCCAAGGCTCCACAGACTCGCCGGAGTCACCGAACCTGGCACCCGGCGGCGGCGGGGTCGGGCAACGCCAAGGCGCGCCTTTCCCCGGGAAGCCGGCGAAGCCGAGGGCAGGAGGGTGCAGGGGCCAGAGGAAGGGGGCGTTTCCGCAGACAAGGAGAAGGGCAAAGAGAAGGGAGAGCGAGGATGCGCCCGGGTCCCAGAAGTGAGGGGGCGGGGACGGGGAGGGCTGAGCCAGGGGAGAAACAAAGCCGGGGCTGGGGGAGGCGGGGGCCGGCTCCAGCCCCGCCGGGGGCGACGCACTGGCAAGCCTTTCTCACAGTCTCGCGGCCCGCCAGGAGCCTCGGAGCCCTGTGATCAGCCCGCCGCCGCGCAGACACGCTCCCCCCGCGCCCGACTGCGCTCCCAAAGCGCGAATGAAAAATGGAAATGGGAAGCAGCGATCTCGGCTCCCTACACTGGGAAACCAGCCGCGCTCGGAACACACATAAATCTTCATTGTAATCCCCTTCCATTTGCTCCCGTGAAATATCAGGCCAAAGACAGGATATGACAAGCGCTGGGAGGCAGGAGGAGGGAAGCCGAAGAGTGAGGGGTGCCCGGCCCTCTCCGCTCCACCTCCTGGCAAGGTTGCTCGGAACTCTGGCAGAGCGCTGGCACTGAGTTCCAGTTCTGGAAGCAGGCAGCCCGGACGCGCCCGCGGCCCCTCTCCTCCCATTCCCGCTCCCCCCGCCCCCCATCCCTCGGCGCGCGCTCGGCCGCCGGTCACCCCTCCGCTGCCCGGGTGCTCCGCTCGGCGTAGACACACCCCCCTCCCCCTGCCGCAGCGCCCGCCGCCCGCCCCGCGGCTCCCGGGCTGGGGAGGGCAGAGAAGAAAGGGAATGGATCCCAGGCCTAATCAGCGCGGCTGCAATGTGGGACCGTTTAGGAGGCTTCCCCTCGGCCTCCTTTCAGGATTACTTGTGAAAATTGTGAATATCCGTCCTGTGTAAGGATTTCCGAGACTGGCGGGCCGAGTTTGGGGGAAGTATCGGGTTTGATGGGGCGGAGAGAGCGCGGGAAGACTGGAGCTTTGTTTACAAACAGTTCTCTGGTAGAAGGGCGGAAGAGAATGGAAGGGGAAACAGGAGTGCAGAAGTGGTTGAATGGTCCCCTCCACTATTAGAGGCCCCCACACACACACCCCCACACCCCCCGCCACAAGGAGAACCATGTCAGGGAGCACTAAGCCTCCTTGCATTTCAAAAAAAAGTCGTCCTCGGTGACGGTAAAACCCAGGAGCAACTCTCCACTCCCACACCGCGCCACCACCCCCCACGTCCCCGTGCCCGTCCCGGTCCCAAGCACTCGCTCAAAAGTAACAAGCCGGCTCCTTTCCCGACAGGGAACAGCGACCACCAGTGGCTTAAACCTGCTTAGGGTCAGAGACCTCTCTGAGAATGCAGCTACAGATTCTCTCTTCCTCCTAAAATTCAGGTTCCTTTGCATTCGACTTTGGGGTCCCGGGAAGCCGGTGGGTGGGGCGCGATGCTGCGGTCCCGGTTACGCGCGCCCCTGGCCCTGTCCGACTAGGCTCTCCAGAGACCGGCGGGCTCTCGCAGGGTCGAGACACTCAAACAGCCCCGGGGAATTCTCCCCCCGCCGGGTCCTCCCTCCCCACCTGGGATCTGACCCGCAAGCCTTACCCTCTGCCCCGCCCCCTCCCACCCCCACCACACCAGCTTGGGCGGATGCTGAGGCCTCACATCCCTCGCCGCCCCCCCTGGCGGGAGTTCCCCTCGCGAGGACGGGTTTGGCAGTGATTGCCACATTACAAGATGTTACATTCCGCCCTGGGGCCTGGGGCCGGGCGGGGAGGGGCGGGGCGGGGGAGACAATGTTTCAAGAAAAGAAAGAGCAGGCAGGTCTCGAAGGAGCAGCGCCTCGGCGCCTCCACGTGAGAACGCAGAGTTCCTAGATGGACCTTTCTTCCCGGGGCCGCCTCGGGCTCCGGTTCCTCAGCCGTCCTCGGGGGAGGGGGCCGGGTGGGGGGAGGAGAACCCAGACGGCAAACACTGCAGTGACTTAGTAGTTTGCCGGCTGCGTGGCAGCCCTCCCGGGATTCTCTGGAAGCCTGTTTTGGGGATGCTCGAGTCCTGGTGCCACCGGCTGCGTCCCGGGTTGAGCCCAGCCAGCTCTAGGATCTGGGGGCTGGGGGAAAGGGCGCGGAGCCAAGGATCTATGAGGCGGGCTCGGGCGAAGGATCAGAACTTCGGGGCCGGAGAAGTGAGGGAGAGGGAAGGACTAATAGGGAGCTCGCCGGGGTGATCCCGGAGGGCAGACTCGGGCCCGCACAGGCAAACATGGCGGGCTTCAAACACTCCTGCTCCTCCCCTCCTTTTTGTGGTCCAGGAGTCTGGGACACCCTTAGAGACGAAATCGTCGCTCCCGGAACAATGGGGACTTCCGGCCCCGGAACCAAAACGAGTCTCGGCTGCTCCGAGCGGTGACCGAGCTCCCGTGGCTTCTGCGGCCGGGAGCCGCCGCGTCGCCCCCTCCTCTGGGGCAGCCCCCGCCCCGCCCCGTCCCTCCACTGCCCTGGCCTCGCTTCTTAAAGTCTCAGGATATCTCTGTGTCCGAGGGACGCGCGGCCCAAGTGGGGAGCGCGTGTTTCGGGGGCGGGGGGGCGCTATCTCAGGGCGGTAGAGACCAAAGAAGAACCCAGGCGGTCGCCGCGGGGAGGGCCCCAAGGACCCTCAACTCCTTCCCTTCTCGTCCCAAAGCCTCCAAGTAGCAGGCTCGTATTCGCCGGCCCTGGGCGGCACCTAGCACACTGTCCTGGGGTGATCGCCGCCTGACACCAGCTCCTCGGTCAGCCAATTGCCCCGCTCCCACCCCTTGCCCCCTGGGCCC